AGCCGATGAGCCCCCCACGAGGAAAATGAAACCAGTTCTTTGGCTCAAGTACCCGAGTGCTTTCCTTGCTGTGCTCTCCTGGAAAGGTGTCTGCAGCTGCAGCAGTGCCACTTGGAGGGTGGTCGTCCTGCATGCATGAAGGCCTTTGCCATGCTTTGGGAAGTGCTTAACAAACCCCTCAGTATAATATTAAATATTTTGCTAGCTGTACACAGTGTTCACAGAGCCCTTGAACACAGTTTCCAATCACTACACTTTATTTTGGGGGGTTTTAAGTCTTGTACTTAAAGTGAACAAATAAATGGATAACTGAACTTGAGCTGTGAACTGCGACTTGCTTGGGTCCAAAGCTTGAGTGCCTGTGATGGATGGAACAGTGTTTGAGTAGAGCGTGTAGCAAATGGAAGGGAACATGCCAGAGCTGCTTCATAGGTTCTGAAATACTGTGTTTCTTCTCTCTGCTTAAAAAGAAATATTCATCTGACACTTGCTCCTGGCATACATCTCTCTCTTGCATTTATGTGTACTGACTTCTTGTAGGATTGCCTGTGAGTGTGGGAATGTTCAGTCTTGCCCTCTGCACAGGTATGCTCCAAGCTGAGGGAAGTGCAGGCATGCTTAATCACCCCTGTGTGCTGGTTTTCTGGGGGGGGGTATAGCAAGTGTATTTGAATGAGGAAGTGGCTTTGTTTTGAAAATAAAGTGATAGGAAATGAGCTTTTCAGCTCAGTAGAGTTTAGCCCTTTTGATTGGTTGCATCTCTTACTATCACCCATATTTGGTTGCGGAGTTCACCTGTTTGCTTCTTCCTTTTTCCACCCTCAGGGTAAAGTAGAATACCTGGTGAAATGGAAAGGATGGCCCCCAAAGTAAGTTGTGTTTACTTGTCTTTTTCTCTTTAATATTCGCTAATAGCTTGCACTGTGTCTCTGCAACTGAGCTCTCATTCAGAATGGGTAATCTCTTGTCCCTCCTTTTCACAACAATAAACAAACCCAAAGAGCCACAAACCTAAACCAAATCTGTGAACTGGCAGCTAAGAAATACAAACTGCTTGCCAGTCTATTTTGACTGAGTTTTGCCACTACTGAAATATTTCATTGAGATACTTTCTAGATACAAATGTTTCTAAATTCATTGTGAGTTCAACAAAAAAAACTCTGATTCTTCTGAACTTGGAATGGCTCCTGCTTTTCTGAGTCAGCACCAAGAGGTCCCCACTTTATTATTAGAGCTGTCTGCAGTCTTTTAAAATAGAAAACATGTTGATGGTCTTGTCTCAGTGTCCTACTGCTTCTCCCTGCAATTCACCAGCCGAAAGCAGAGATGTTTCAGTTTTATTGATTGTAGCCAGATGCATGTGATCTTTGTCTCTTGAAAATTTCTGCCATGCCTTCATTTCCTTGCCAGAAACCTTCTGTTACTTTAAGTGCCTTTTCTGCTTTTGTCTTGGTTGCTACATTGAAAAAAAGGGATTTTTTTTCCCCAACACTGCTGTGAACTGTTTACAGACACTTCTCTTATTAAAATGCAGCTGCCTCTGAAGAAGAGTGACTGCTCTGTGTTGAACCAGTCTGTAAAATGCTTTGAGAATAAAATTATTAGGTAACTGGATAACATTACTATGTTAGCTAGCAGTCTAGTAGAACAGCCTCCTGGCCAACCCATATGGGGCCCTGTCTTTGCTTTTCTGTTTGTGACTGTGTGTGTACATACACAATGTGCGTGGGTACAACAGCGTTACACATGCAGTTGCTCTGTGTGTCGCAAAGCAAAGGGAGCTGCTTGCTACAGGTTCATCCTCGCTGTCCCAAAACAGGGCCCACCAGGATGGTTCTGACAGGTTGTACCTGGTGTCCAAGAAGCTGAAATGTGTTCCTGTGTGCCTAGTGTTCATGCCTAATCCTCACACTTGTAGGGCATATATGAATATAAGCAGCTTCTCCTCTTTGGTGGTAATGGGAGAGGGTGACTTTGTTCTTGACTGTAAGTCCTGCTGTCAAAGTGTAACCTTGTGCACTTGTTGAGCACCAGCTGCCATGGAGTGTAGGTCACTTTTTGGACTGCGTCAGCCTTCTGAGTAGCCAAGTCTTACTTAATTGCTGATAGAGGGTGGGAAATGTACTTGGAGCCTGTGAGGCCCCATCCCATTTTGGCCAGAATACTGATGTTTATCCCATTCTCCTTTCAACGAAGGCATTGAGGTCCTTCTCTTGGAAGGTCCCTTGCCAAGAAGGTGGACTGAGGCATGGCATAATGTTTCCCAGAGTAGACAGAAAGCCTGCTGCCTTTGCTTGTCCTGTGCCTTGGAACTCTGGGGGAGACTCTCTTGGGAATTAAAAGCACCGCTCCCCAGAGAGCAAGGTGATGTCAGCATTCCCTTCTTTTGATGCCGTGATATATCTAAGCACCTTCCCTCTTCCCTCAGACTCCAAATACGAAGAGCACTGATTTTTTTTTTTTCTTTCCTCCACCCCTCTCCCTTTTAAGTGTTTACTCAGTGGTTTGACTTACGTAAAACCAAAATGATCAGAGCACTGAAGTCACTTTCATCCCACTAGCAGTCTCTGTTCCTTGTTTCTAAACATACATATGCTTGTGATGGCATGCAGCACCACAAGCTGTTTGCATCTTTGTCTTCCAATGTATTCCATTTCCTCATCCCATGTTGTGTTTCTCTTCATCCCCTTCCCATCCTTGTTGCATTGCTCTTTGTAACCTCTGTACCTATTATCCCATCATTCCCACTGGAAGCTTCATGGGAGGGACTAAGGATAGGTCAGTAATTTGCTGTAATTCATATTTCACTTTTTTTCCCCTCTCTTTTTAATAAAAATTTCTTATCCATGCCCTGCACCTCAGATTTCTGGGCTGTACTGCTGGAGTCAGGGAATGGAGAAGTGACAATCTGAATCTAGCCACAAGCTTGTTTACAACTTGTGCTGGAGTTATGAGGGGAGGGGGAAGAGGAGGAGTAGAAGGAGGGGGAAGGAAGATCATATGATCTGTGTTTTCCAGAGTGCCTGCTCGCTGCAGTTTGCTGCAGCCTGGGCTGTGTGTACCCATATAGAAAGCTCTGTGCGCGCGCGCGTGGCAAATTCAACCATGTTTTTTTTATATGCAGTGTTTTGCCACTGCAGCGAAGCCAGAATCTGAACTGCAGAGAAAAAGGCAACACCCACCCGGGTGTTTTTTAAAGCAAATCCCCTTTCTTCTCCTGCCTATGAAAAGCAATCCGATGACTTTTCCCCTCCTTGTGGTGTTATTTTTCTTGGACTTGCAGGATGAGTGCCAGAATCCCTGCAGCTGGGAGAAAACCTTCCTCTTCTCAAACAGCATCTTGGCTTTCACAGCTCACAGTCAGGTTGCTGCAGGAGGCATGAGCAAAGGAGGGAGGGAGGGATCAGCTGGTTATGAAGACATGTCTGTTCATAACTCTCTGGTGCACAGTGCACCTTGGGATAGCTGAATATCATATTTTTGTTTGTGCAATTGTATTTTCAATTCTAGACCCATTCTCCAGGAATATTCCTATATTGCAGGACCTATAATGGAGAGGTGAAAGGGAAAAAACATTCCCAAACCACCTACCCTGTGTACATATGGGCATGTATCATGTGCCCTGATGTGCAGCCTGTGCTTCATCCAGGAATATAAACATCCTAAAATGCTTTCTCTCTGTTTAAAGGTGCAAACGCACCCTTGCACACCTGCATGTGGCTTCTCTCTGGTCCTTCACCCCAGGAGCTGGATTGGGCTCTGCTTCCAGGCCCTGGACCTCACATTCCCGGCAAATAAGTGTTATGAGGCATTTGGGGTTTCAGACTTGCTTTCTTGCCTTAGAGTTTGTATGGTAGAGACATGCCACCCACCTTTTCTGGGCAAGCATGACCCCTTAGAAGCAAACATGCCACAAGGGCCACCTTGTGATCCTTTCAGCTTCCACAGTGGGAGTTTTTGGCTTCTTGTCCCTGGTGTTAAGTGCAGCTGTGCTCTTTGGGAACCAGTTTTGGAGGAGTTTGCAGGGTGGATTCAGTCCTTTCCTGACCAAGACTGTCACAGCTGTCTGACAATCGAGGAGGGAAACCAGACAGTGAGTGACACCGCTCACAGGCTACTTCCAGAGCATGAAGCCTGTTTGGAGCAGTGTTGGTGGCCCTGCCTGCAGTGCAGATGGTGCCTCCTGTGCCGGTACAAAATACCGATGAGCTTGGCTCAATAGGAACAACCCGCAGGGGGAGCCGAGCAGGAGGCGGAGGCGTTGGCAAGTGGCCATCAGCTTGCCCCAGGGCCCAGGTCTGAACATGTGTGGTTGAACAGCGTCAGTGGAGAAAAATTAAACTCTTAAACGAATACTTTCAGCTTCAATGATTAGAGGTAATTAATAATGCAGGTGTGACAGCATACTTACTCTTGGAGCACTCTAAATTAAGAGAGACCTATTTTTCAGAATGCTGTATCAGATCACATCTAATTGTTCCATGGGGTTTGTGGGATTTGAGAGAATGCTGCAGATGAGACCTGTTTAGGCATGGATTTAGAATCAGTTTGCAAGTGTCTGCACAGGCTTTGCAAACAGCGTGGAGGGCGCTCCTGTTTTCCTCCAAAGAGCTGCTTGACACTTGGCCCTGCCTGTTTTGGGAAGGGGAGGTTGTGTCAGTGGGAACTTGGGCAGGGAATGGCTGGGATTCCTCAAAGCTCTTGCAATGTTGTGGCAGGTCCCATTGACCCTTGTGAAGACAGTATCCAGGGCTGCAGCACACTGGTGGCAGGCCTGCAGAGAGAATGTTTCATTAAAGTATTGTTTACTTTCTATTGCGTATGTTTTTCTTCAGATACAGCACATGGGAGCCAGAGGATCATATCTTGGACCCTCGCCTGGTAGTGGCTTACGAAGAAAAGTAAGGGCCCATGCTCTTTCTCTCCCTAGACACAGGAAAAGAAATAGAGTCTTTTTTTCATTATATGCATAAAATGCCCCTGTTGTCCCTACTTCAACCAAAGATGAGATGTTTAGCAGTGAATCCTGCATGATTTCTGTACCCTGGTGTTGGTTGAGACGGACAAGACAGGGTTAAAGCAGCTTTGATTGGCACTGTTCAGGAAATGAGGCCAAGAACAGGCAGCATTGAGCCAAAGAGCGATCAGTCTCAGGTTTTAATCAGGTCCAGAGCTGGGCTGGAGTGATGCGAGGTGATAAGTTTCTCTAACCCATCCTTGATCAGCTGTGTCAGTGAAATTCCCCTATTGCAAGGCTTTCACTCCTACAGGAAGCAATTCTGGGATGTTTTCCAAGCCCACCCTGCTCACCATTGGGTTTTAGTGAAGGAAACTGAGGGAGCTGTGCCACGAAAGGTTGAAGTCCTAGCTAGGTTTTATGCTGTGGTATTTAGTAGTCAGTTTGATTTGTGTTCCTCTTTCACAGGGAAGAGAGAGACCGTGCATCGGGGTACAGGAAAAGAGGCCCCAAACCAAAGCGCCTCCTGCTGCAGGTAGCCTCTTGCTTTTCTGTGTGTTTCTAACTCATTAGCTGCTGTGCTGCTCCTCTGCTCACAGTGAAGTGGAAACTGTTTGCTGTTGCATGGACAAAATTGGAGGTAACAAGCAAATGCACCAGCATGAAATCAGTGGTTAGGCAGATAGTTTTAACCTGTTAGCTGAAGAGCTAGCTAATTTGCCTTTATAAAAGCAAAACAAAGCAACAACAGCTCTTGCTCTCTGCACTAGGATTTTATACACTATGAGCCTGGGTGGTTGCAGGTGATGTGGTTTGTGTGTTCTGTTAATTTCATGGGGAGCTTGGACTTTCCACCAAGTTAAAGGTGGCCACTGGCTGGAAGTGATGCTTCAGCATGCTTTGACTGTTGCCAACCAAAGCAGCCAATCCTAGGAAGTGCATATTAGGAAGAGCTTAGATGGCAGTTGAAAAGGTGAGCGAAACAGTGTTGTAGAAGCAGCACGTCCTAGCTCATCTAGCTGTTCAGAAACTGAACAAAGAATAGTTTCCTGGCTCCCAGGGGGAGCCCTGACTGTATTATCAGATATCTGCTCTGACCCTTGCTGTGTGGATGTCTCGGCAGCGGCTGTATGGCATGGACTTGAGGAGTGCCCACAAGGGAAAGGACAAGCTATGTTTCTCTATTGCACGGAGATTTGGAGGAGACAATAGCCTGCCAGGGGCCAAGACAGGGCAGGCAGAGTTCCCAGAGAAGACTGGGGGAGCAGTCCTGCCATTCTCTCTCCGGAAGCAGCGCAAAAACCAGAAGTACCTGCGACTGTCAAGGAAGAAGTTTCCCCGCATGGCAAGCCTGGAGAACCGCAACTGCAGGCATGAGTTCTTCCTGAATGATGCGGTGGACCTAGAGGGCAGGCAGGACCCTGATGACTGGGAGGCCATGCAGCACACCAGCAAAGAAGGTAAGGCCAGACACCCCTTGGCTGTGAAGTTCTGGGGCATGTGAAGGATGCTGTGTGCGCTCCCTCCTTGCTTCCTTTTCCTGGGACTGTGGTTTAATTCAGGTGCCCGGAGCAGCCCTTGATGGCTCAGATTATGTCCCTCTTGTTTGCAGGTTACTTTCTTGTTTGAAGAGCACAGATTAATCTGGGTTTTTGGTGCTGTTACCTCTCTGTATTCTTACATCCATGATGTCCCTTCCAGTGTTGGAAAACAAGCAGAAGATACTGCAAGTTATTCCCTTCTTACTGTTTCCTCACAGCAGAGGTGTGATAGTAATGAACTCTGCCTCTGTCCACATATCCACGTGTGCTCAGCCTGCTGCATGGCTAAGAGGAGCTTGGCTGGCAGTGGACAAGTTTGGACACCAGCACTCCTCTCAGTGCTGCTCCAAGAAGCACACAGGAATGCTGCTAGGAACCCGTGGTGCACTCCCCTGCCTCCTCCTTCTCTTCCCACACCCCTCTAAAATCTCTTGCTAGAGAGCTATATGAGAGAGGGATGAGAGAGATGAAGTGAGGATGGTAACTCCTGCCTGATCCCACTGAGTAGGCAGCATGAGTGTAGGCACGGGAGATGTCCAAGCACATTTGGCATTTTGGGGAGGGATACCAGCATCTTGTGCAGGCGGGCTGTGGGATGTGTGTGTTGCTCTCAGTTACCAGGGAAACTCTATCCCTGCATTATTAGAGCTTCTGAAGGCGTAGCTTTCCTGAGGAGTGGAAAACTGGGGCTTCTGCTGGTTGTAGTGGCTAAGGGAATCCTGTTACTCCTTGCGAGGAGTAGCTGTTAGCCAGGCTGGATTAGGCAGGATTTTAGGGAGAGGGCTGTATTCTGGAAATTAATGCTATCCCCTCCTTTCTGAGAGGGACTGGAAAAGTGCCCAGAACCCAGGGAGGCAGCAATGGGAGTACTACAGAGGAACTCAGTGTTACATCCTGGCAGTGGACAAATGTGTGGGTCTGTTCTCCCTTAGAAATGTGGGGCTCTAAAGCACTTGGGGATCAGAAGAGTGAGTGTCAGTACAGAATCGTAAACCTGGTTTTGTTCTCCCCTTGACACACGGTCTACATGGAATTCCAGTTACTGTTAGGGGGGATTGGTCTCTTTCTGAGGTGAGAGTAGGCACCCCAGTTGTTTGAGACAGAAGGCAGGAAATACACTCTTCAGGGTCCCTCATTCTTTGCCCAGATTGGGACAACAAGGTGTATAGTACAGGTAGTGATGGGGAGACGGGGTGTTTTCCGTCCTCTCTCTCTCTCTGTTTATGTGGCAGTCTCTGGGGGTTGGGGGGAAATGGGGTATTGGGTGGCAGAGGGGCTGATAATTATTCATCCAGTGAGAAAGTGCAGGGATGCTTGGGTTTCTTGGATGGAGCTGTCCAGGAACAAAGGAGGGATATGAGAAAGGGAAAGCAGCCTTTCCATGAAGAAGTATTGATGGGTTTTTGAGAGAATCACACCCAGGCTGCGTTGCAGGTGCAGTACAAGGCAGACCTTCCATTTTGGATCCCTTTGACTTCCATAAGAGTATCTGAGTGTAAGAATTTTTGACTTTTCAGCAGGGCAGGGCATTTACAAGTGAGTCAGCTCATGCTGTGAGTGTGCTTTGCTGACACAAAACCAAATTAGGGGCTGAGGTATTGGGGAATTGTAGATGGTTAGACGAGCTGGGTGGTTTTACAAGATCTTTGACCTCTCTGGAGGCTGCTCTGATGCCACAGTGTGTCTGGACACCGTTGCTACTCTGTCCTTTTCCCGTTACATCTTGAAGTGATCCTCCATTTTCCCATGTTTTTTTGCCTTGTACATGTAGACTCACAACAGGCTGATTTCACCTACTATTTGTCAGAAAGGAGGCCCCTTTTTCCACCCTTCCCTTCCCTCTCTGCATCCTCCTTCCTTCCCCCTCGCCTTCTCTCTGTCACTGACACACTCTTATCTGCCTTTCTTCCTGCAGCAGATGTGGATGCCAGTCTCCCTTGGATCCCCACTGTGCCCCCCAGCGAAGTGACAGTGACAGACATCACGGCAAACTCCATTACCGTCACTTTCAGAGAAGCACAAGTGGCCGAGGGCTTCTTTCGAGACCGGAGTGTGCAGCTCTGAATCTCTGTTTTCAGTGCTCCCCAAAACCAGTGCTTTTAGGGTGGGGCTAGGGAAGGGTTATGTTACCCCTTAAGAGAAAAAAAATCCCAATGTCTCCTCTTAAAATGTTTACAAAGACCTTTTTCCCCCCCCCCCCCTTTTCCCCTTTCAGATACGCAAAAAAGGGCAGTGTAGGGGGTGTGTGTTTGTCATTGCTTTGTCCAGCTGAAAAACTGACAGCCCTTTCCCTGGCAAAGACTCCCCTCCTCGATGTGAAAGCAGCAAGCCAAACAATTCGCCTTTTATCCTGTCAAGTGGCGGCAGCTGCATTTGTGGGGAGAGGGCATGTGGAGGTGGAAAGAGAGCTGAATCTCTAGCCTGCTGCCTTGTTCTGCAATTGATATCCCTTGGATAAAGATACATCTCTGTGCATTGCTCTTCCCACCTTCCTCCTCCCTCTCTTCCTGCAGCAGTGAGAGGCGATGGATCCTACCTGTGTAGATAACACCAGCCTGTTAAGGCTTTCTCTCCAGTGCTGTTTTCCCTGTGGCCTGCTGTTCAGGACTTCAGAACCGTGTTTGCCTGTGTGTGGTAAGTGAGTCTTTGCAGCATGGGGCCGTGCAGACAGCAGAGGTTTCTCCCTTTGCTCGCTGATCATGCGGAAACACTGAAATGCATCTCTGAAATCTAAATTGGCAACGTAAATTCAATTTGCCCTCATTAAAAGCTCAGAAACGCAGCACAGTAGAGACATACCATTCTGTATATGCTAAACAGGATTTACAGGCTTGGCTGTACTGCGTGAGGAATGTGCTATGGAAAGTGGGGTCTTCTTACCCTTTGCCAAATTCAGTATTAATAACAAATGCTGCCCTGAATCTGAGGTAATAAGTTGGTTGAAAACTGACTCCTCTCCCCTGGGAGGAGGGGATAATAGGACAACTGAAGCATTGCTTGGCACTGCAAAGATATCCAAGATACTGGCACAGGCCCAGGACACAGGAATTGGACAGAACTGAGCTAGAAATGGACCTTGATTAGCAGCAAAGTCTGTTCTTGGATCCCACAGAGAGATCCAAGGTAAACAACATGTGGGGAAGGCATGTATTAGATTTGAGGAGGGGAAAAAAATTCTTAATGCTTAGCAATGAGAATTCTTGGATTGTACTGCCTAAGTGATATTCTTCTGTGACTCCACTCTCCTCACAGTATCTGTGATCCTGTACTACTTTACTGATAGGAACTTCCCCTTGGAAGGCTTAAAAATCTTTGCCAAGGAAAGTGGTCTGCATTTCAATAGACCTGCCTGATCTTGCACTTAACAATGCCTTGTGCTGGACTTGCCTGTGACACTTTGAGGTTTTTGGAGAATTGCTGTATTTTGAGTTGGTAGTTTAGCATAGCATCTGTTCTTGCACATGCATGTTCTCTTCCATTTTTTAAAAAGCAGATTTTATTTAAATAACTTAATTTTTTAATTATAGACCTTTTCCTATGGAAAGCAAGAAAAGTAAGCTAGAGTCTAAACTGGGAACTGCAGGACAGAGTGCTGCAGGGTAACATCGGCTGCTGCCATGATTGCTGCCCTCAAATCCTTTGTTTCCTTTCCCCACCCCAGCTGAAGCATCTCTTATCTGCTGTATTTATTCTAAATGAAGGTATGAGCCTTCTGAGCTCTGAGGTGAAGACACCTGTGGAAATCCTCAATGTGTTCCTTTGAGGGGCTTGGCCTGTAGAATTTGAGAGCTCTGGGGCTTCTGGTCCTCCAAACATCTACTTCTTGCAAACTACTTGGACTGCCCCTATGGTTTTTATTAAAAGCAGGTTTTACCTCAGATAGGATATGGCAGCTCAGTGTACATTTAGGGTTTCCCCTTCCACCTCAGAGCTCTTTGAGCAGGCCTGTCTTCCACTGCATCACAGTGGAAGATCTTGACTTTCTGGACTAACCTTTTGTTTCTCAAAGAAGTAAGATGGGAGTTTTATTTTAGAGAAATTTGAGGGGGTGAGAAGTGGAAGTTGGGGGGAGAATTATGTGGTGGGAGGAAGAGTGAGTGGGAAAGAAGCTTGCAATAGCTAGCAAGGGCAAACTGATGAGGTAAGCATGCAGGCACAGGATGTTTGTTGAGCGTGGGTGTCCAGAGCAAGGCTTCTGTGTCTGGAGTTGCACCTTCTTTTGCAGGATGTGGGGTCAGATGGTGTTGTCACTATCACCCACACACACCTGCCCCCCCTTCCCAACACCTGACAAATGTGCTGAATACCTGCATCTCTCTTCTGTTGTGACCAGTGGACACTCCACATGCCTGAGGCCACTCTTGTGAGTTGTAGCAGGTCAGGTACTGATGGTTGCAGAAGCATATTTTAGCTTATTTAAAAACAAGTCTTGAATTTCAGCTTATCTGCTAAATCTTCATGCCATTTATAGGATCTGGTTTCTTTATTCTAATGCAGCAACTGCTGCCTTTGTCCTGTTTCATCTCAGAGTACAAACACACCCAAAAAAAAGCTTCCTATTTACTAAGGTTCCTGTCTTTGGCTGACATCGGAAGCAATCGCAATCCTGCGGCAGGAAAGAGCTTGTCCTAATAAACTAGATTTCCATCCTCTGCTTTTCTCTCCACTCGCCAGCTGACACTTCTCAACGTTTTGTTTTGGCATTTCTCTTTAAACATATTTTCTTCCTCTTGCAGCAGAGTTTTCAAAGACCTGTGGTGGTCTTTCAAAGAGGATCCACCCACAGCTTCAGATCTTAATCACTTTTTGGATCAGGCTAGCTTGTGTTCTGCTGGTGACTAATCATCTCTCTACACGAAGTGTGGAACAAAGTACCATGCTGCTTTGTGTCAGTGAGGAGTTAACTGTAATCGAGTTAAGATGCAACAAGTTGCGTGTGCGTGGGTTTGAGGGGGATTGTGTGGGTGAAGAGGAGTTTGTGGTAGGAAACTGAGCAGTTATCTCCTTGGTGTGGACTTTTTTCTTGACATTCATGAATTCTTGTTTATCTTAAAGATCTTTTCGAGAAGTTTTTTCTCCTGATCTTTTTAAAATGTGACTCTGTTCCGTGTTGTCTGGTGACATACTGTTGTAAATTTCCTTGGTAGAGCTGGTCTTCAGGGACTTTCAAATTAGCTTTATTCCACTTGTGCAGGTGTGGAGATGTATGGGGGTTTTACTGTGATGGCAGGAGAGGTTGCCTGAGTTGGTCTCTTCTCCTCAATACTGTCCATCTTCCAGTTGAACCCAAAACCTGAAAATTGAGTTGGGACCTCTAGTGCTAACATATCATGAAAATCAGATGCTGTGCTCGGAGCTTTGTCAAGCATTCCATTTGATTAGGAGAGCCAGAATAGCATCCAGCTGAAGCTGAGTTTAATAATTCTATTTGAAGCACAAGCCGAGAATAGAAATGGGCTAACTCTCCCATACCTCGTTTGGCTCCATGGCTGTAAACAAGAAAAACAAACTTCAGCTAGTGGAAATTACTGAACTGTACACAAGAAACAAACTTCTCAAAGAAGGACTGTTCTAATAGTCATTCTTAGAACTGTTTCCATGTGGGGAATTTACCAGTGGCATTCGAGGGACAGAAGGTTTTATTTCATAGATCTTCTCACAGTGAACTCAGTGTTATATGGCAGAACTGAGGAGCTTCATGAGACTGGAAAGCCTTTATTGTTAACACTGTGTTTACAAAAATATACATGTAATAACCTCTGTTCCTGGATGGTTATAAACTAGATGTTATTGCTCTGATATATAAGAGATGCCTTGGAGCAGCAAGTTTTAACACATAAATAGTGGCATTAAGTAGCCTCATAGCTCCTGCATGCTCCTTATTGTCTTGCATTTGCTGGGGGCCCTTGTGCTTGTGAAGTCAGACCAAGGTGGTTTTTTTCTTGGGTTTTTTTCTTTCCTTTTTCAAGCAAGGCCAGTATACTATTGTGAGAACATCCAAAAGCAGTTTCATTTGCCAAACAAGCCCAAATTTGTTAGCGAATTGACTCTTGCTTATGTTGGAGCCTCAGACATAAAGAAGCTTATTGAGAAATGAATGACTTTTTTTTTCCCGTTATTAGTGTTGTGAAACTGTCCAGAATTGTTCTTCTGGTGTTTTGTGACTGAATGTATAAAATTGTTTGTTCACCTCACAGGGGGCCCTTGGCCCCAGTACTGTTTCCTGCTGTACGCCAGCTAGTGCTGTTTGATGGTTTCACTGGAATAGAGAAGGGAGGCCTTGCACAGGTCAAAAAATAGGCAGGGCAGCTCCTGCAAGACCCTTAGTGGCAGCCACAACAGAGGCCTGGGTGCAGAAGGCAGTAGTGGGGGCTGTCAGCCACATCCAAGTATTAAGCAAAGCTAAGTCTATCACCACCTCTCCACCCCTTCCTCTCCTTTCAAACTTTCAGCTTTTGTTTTCTGAAGTAGAGAAAGAGCAAAACCCTCCTTTTTCTAAAGCTAATTGGGGTCTTCTGTTCCTCCCTGGCTTACCTGCAGTCTAGGAAGAAGAGGGCAGTGGGCCTTTCTGAGAAGGTAGTAGGGGCAGCTGCTGGTCAGGGAAGGGAGGGATGGAGTTGCCTTGGAGTTGCTGTAGCTCGGTGGGTGAGGACAGGGCTTTGGGTGAGCTGGCAGCTGACAGAAAAGGCGTGTTAGAAGCGAAGAACTTGCAGTGAGATTGATGCCTTGCATCAGCGGGTGGAGTTCTGAGTGGGCCCTGTGGAAAGGAGATGGTGAGTGCTGCATTTATTTCTCCATCTTGTACCATTTGGGAATGCAAGGGAGATGTGTGTGTTAGCAACTTGCATAGGGTAACTTCTACATGGGGACATAAAGCATTGGCACATACAGGTAAAGGGAACAGGTTGCTTTTGCCATGCCTGTCATAAATATTTTCCTCAAGGGCGTGACAAACTTGTTTTAAGACAACAGCTTATGATCAAGGGGCCATGTTGTCCTCTGAAAAAAAAACTGTCCTCGCAACCATGGACTTTCTGGGTGTTGAACCACCTGGATTCTACCCAAGCAGCTGATCAGGGTGGGAAGGCCTGTAAAAAAGCCCCAGGACAATTGGAAGTAGAGAGAAGCAATCACTTGAAATGGAATTCAGACCCTTCAGATCCTTTCCTGTAA